CAGCCACCAGTGAAGAGAGCTGTCCTTGTTTGGAGGCTCATTTTTGCCTCAGCTTTTTGATGAAGGAAACCTCGTCTCGATTCCGGATGCCGTAGCTGAAAAGGAAAGGCGTAAAGCACCCGCCCTACAGAAGGACACGTCTGTGACCCTCCTCCAGAGGCTTGTGGGGGACCACAAAAGAACCACAGAGGGGAGGCATGAGTGGCTGCCCTCCCACAGACCCTGAGGCACCGGAGAGGCAGCCCTTGGCCTCCACGCCCACTTTCATTTCCTCCCTCCGGGCAATGTGTAGCCCTGAGCTGCCACTGGTGGGAAGCAGCAAGGCCCCTCCAGGTGCCCCCTGCCTGCCAATCTCCTAGTGGAGAGGGCCCCAAGGAAGCTCCTTGGGGGAGGGAGTCTCTCCAGAGAGGGGGCCACAGCCCTCTGGCAGAGCATGGGGGACTAGGGGACAATAGAACAGATGTCCCCTACAGCTCAAGGTGTGGCCGGCACTTACTCTCGGAGCTTCTTCCTATCTTCTGTGAGCTTCTCTCCTGCAGAGGTCAGATGGTACGTCCTCCACACATAGGACCTGGAAGTGGGTGACTCAGGTAAACCACAGGCCCTGACCATGACGTGGGCTTGAGGCATTCAGCCCTGTGGGGCCTGGAGCAGCTGTCCTCCCTCCCTGTGCTGTTCTATACAGTCTGAGGCAGCTGCACGGAGGCTGTGTTCTCAGAGGGCTGCACGGGGCGGCGTGGCCAAACAACACCCGCTAATGCAACAGGCGGCAGTGCTGAGATTCAGCAAATGGCATACTTGATCCAACAGGAGAGTGAGGGCTGACAGCACCCAGGTGAGAAGGGGATGGGAGCCATTACAGGTGTACCATCCATAACTAGGGAGGCCACTTCCAGACACACTGGAAATACCCTACAGTGTCCCCAAGTGAAGATACCCGGCAGCCTGGATGGGGTGATGGTGATGAAAGAGCAGGGTGCTGGGGACGGCCAAGGCAGGAGCCAGCCCCAGGCACAGAAGGGCCCGCACTGTCTGAACTCTTGTGACAGGGAGCGAATCACTTCAGTGGTGCTGTACTCATGTGGCGCTGAGAGCTGTTTGCTGGTGGTGCCCGGTGACAGTGCCAAGAAGGGCACATGCCCCAGGAAGGGCTATACTGAAGGGACGCTGTTCCACTTACCAGCTGATGTGCTGAATGCCCCCTTCACGCTCCTGCTTGAGCTGCATGTATCTCTGGATGGCCTTCTTCAGGTCCAGGACCGTGGCACTCTGC